GGCTCCGGTACATTGGAGCCAATAAGATGTGGAAAAGTTATCCGAGCTGTTGGGCCACGCAACTTGAAAGCCGCTCGAGCATAAGCCAATGCTGCATCCTCTGACGTCTCATATGTGCCCAGCCAAATTCTTGAGCCTTTCTTGGACGGATTCCTTATTTCTGCCGAAAACTTTCCCCACGGCCGCCGCCTCACGCCTCTGTAGCGCTTCCACTCTGGTGGCACGATCATTCCACGCACAGATTTCGACTCTTCCGACACAATCTCATCACAGCATAAATTATCATCAAATATTAGTACTCCAGGGCTTTCTTCAAAAAATGAACTGTTAAAGGTTGAGTTTTGGCTGTAAATTTGTGCGTTGCATGAACTTATTTCTTCAAAGTTCTCGACAGGGAAATCATCAGAATCATTTAAAAGATAATTTTGTATGGACTGAAGAAGGGCCATGTCTGAATCTGAAATGGGTTTTTCATACATTTTCGAGGATTCCTAGATTTTCCTTACACACAATTAATGGTGTCAAATTAAGGATCTTTGGTCACTGTCAAAATCTATGAAGTTTCTGGTTTATATATGCATGACAGAAAACCGTAAATATTCATCTAGTGATTTCCTTGAAGGTTCCTTAATCCACGTGAAAATTATGCTAATTCTTTAATACTCCAATAAAAAATTCTACTATGCAAGATGAGCATACATGTTCAATGTTGGCAATAAATTGAATAATGTGATAATAATATAAACTATTGTTTTTCTTTATTGGGTAAATAAAAATGTAGCATCCAAGCAATAGGGCATAATATAAAATATTGTTGCACTGTCTTGACTCACTATTGATAAATGCAAAACTTATAGTATTTTTATGATTTTGGTACTAAGGGGGCATTAAATAAATAAAATTTTTTGGGACCATATTAAAAATATGCTACATAATTACCTGACATGAGGACAAATCATTCGTTTGAATGATTGGTATCAAGCCCACGATTGGTGGGGGAATAAAATTTATTTTTAGAAAATTTTATTAAAATTTGATAAAATATGAGATTAAAAAGTTGTGAATTCAGGTTGTGATTTGTAAATTTCTCATTTGATAAAGATAAAAGGTCTTTCCATATTCTTCATTTAATGCAATTAAAAAATAAAAATAAAAAATAAGAAAAGAATATAAAATTAATAGATAAAAGATTTTTAGAAAGAAAATATTCTTCTTCTCCATTGCACCACCCACACTAGGGCTGTCCGTGGGTCGGTTCGGTTCGGTTCGGTTCGGTTCTGTAGAGACCCGAACCGACCCAAAACTTTCGGATATTTAATAAATGGACCTGTCGGGTCCAAATATAATTATGGAACCGTTCGGGTTAGGTTTCGTTCGATTCGGTTCGGGTCAGTTCGGTTTCGTACCATAATTAAATTTTTTAATATTTACAGCAACACTACATAAATACAACTAATGACATTTCATTCGTAACTTTTACAAATTAACGTAGCCCAATTCAAAAACATATAAATAACTAGCCGTCCAATAAGATTAATTCAATGCATACAAATACCAAAAAGTAG